TATTGTCCAAGGCGAAAGCTGAAAGGGCAGCAAGGCGACACGCAAGGGGAAATCCACTGGCATATAAAGCCGAAGAGAACAAAACTAAGAAGCAGCCAAATGCTGGAGCTTCCTGACTCCAGAGCTTCCTCTTCACTTCTCTGCCTTGAGGACTGCCTTGGGTTGCCAGCTCTGTGTTGGGAAGTTCCTGGAGACTTTGGGGGTGTAGCCGGTGGAGGGCGGGGTTTGGAGAGGGGAGGGATCTCAGCAGGGTACAATGCCGTAGACTCCACCCTCCAGAGCAGCCATTTTCTTCAAGGGGAACTGATCTCTGTCACCCAGACGTCAACTGTAATACCGGAAGATCTCCAGGACCCAGCTGGAAGCTGCTGTGGAAACTCGAGCTGCAGTGTTAGAAGAGTCAAACAACAAATATATACCCTGCAAAAAACTGTTTTATAAGTTAAAGTGTTCCATATGTTCCATCTTATAAAGTGCATTGTGTCTTATTCATAATATTCTAAAACAGGTATATATTCATTACATGCAATATCAACAATGCTAATCAGTTTCCTTTTGTGGTTACACTGAAGTTTAAATTGATGTTTGTTGCTGGTCCTACAAAAGGCCCATTAAGCAGCTGACATTCATAGACTTCAATGTAACCACAAAAGGAAACTTCCCCCTTTAGAAGACTTTCAAGCAAGGAGAAGCGGGTGTTTTTTGTTGTTGTTCAGTCGCACAGTCGAGTCCGACTCTCCGCGACCCCATGGACCAGATCACGCCAGGCCTTCCGGTCTTCCGCCGTCCTCTGATGTTTGCTCAACTTCATGTTCGTTGCCTCGATGACACTGTCTAACCATCTCATCCTTTGCCGTTCCCGTCTTCTTTGACCTTCAATCTTTCCCAGCATCAGGGTGTACAATTCTAGAAACTCCCGTTAGGGTTGATTGTGTAAAAAGGATGTAAATTGACTAGTAGCTATTAGATTGTACAAACTGGTTATTATTGTTGATATTGCATGTAATGAATATATCTGTTTTAGAATATCATGAATAAGACACAATGCACTTTATAAGATGGGACATATAGAACACTTTAACTTATAAAAAAGGTTTTTGCAGGGTATATATTTGTTGTTTGACCCACCTGGAAGCTGGCAACCCTAGGACTGCATCTTCCAGATGTTTGAGACCGATAGAAGGCCTCACCGGGCCCCTCTCTGTCTCTGGCAACCCCTCAGCGAGAACCAGAGTGGTGTAATGGTTGTGTCGGACGAGGATCTGGCAGACCCAGGTTCGAATCCTCACTCTGTCATGGAAGGTTGGTGGGTACTCTTAGGCCACTTCCATTCACACACTCTCAACCCAACCTACCTCACAGGGCTGTTGTGGGGATGACACGGAGAAGAGGAGGCGGGGAGGGCGGGATATAAATTAGATAAATAAATAAATGAAGAGAATGTTGTAAACAATGTTCCCTCTAAGCTGTGGAGTCTTGTGAGCAAAAATTCTACTTTGTGAGCTCCTGGCATTAAAGTTGTGAGCGAGCGATTTGGCTACTGCATCAATTAGTTTGCTCTGGAGCCCTCCTTCCTGAGCTAAGACAAAAGTGTGTGAGCCGGAGGCTAAAAAACCGTGAGCTAGCCCACACTAACTCAGCTTAGAGGGAACACTGGCTGTAAACCACTTTTGGACCCCATTGGGAAGAAAAGCAGGGTATACGTGAAGGAAAAGAAAAACATTTAAAAACCATGGAAACCAAAAAGTCGAAACAGCAGATAAAACTTGAGGGCACAGGACAAGAGAGTCAACAAAATGCCTGGGCAAAGAACAGAAATTCCACCTGGCTCCAGAAAATCAGGTCCGAGGGGCAGGGCTCTTTTTGGGCAGGAACGCACAGGAACGGAGTTCCAGCTGGCTCCCGAGTTGGCCACGCCCAGCAGGAACTCATTAGCATAATAGGCCACACCCAACAGCAGAAACTCATTAGGATTGGCTACGTTAGGGGTGTGTGGCCTAACATGCAAAGGAGTTCCTGCTACAAAAAAGGCCCTGGGTTTTGACGACAAACAAGGTAAACAGAATAACAAGCAAAAGGTGGGTGTGGCTGGATAACCACACTTCTGGTGACATGGGGGTGCGGCCTAATGTGCTAATGAGCTGTGCTGTCAGGAGTGTGGCTGGATATGCTAATGAGTTTCTGCTGTTGGGTGTGGCCTATTATGCTAATGAGTTCCTGCTGGGCTTTTTCTACAAAAAGAGCCCTGCGAGGGGAACTGGTGCCACAGAGCAGGCCTTGCCTCCCGTCACCACTCATCACCCTTCAGAAGGTGGGGATGGGGACACATAAGTCCCGCCCCTCCAGTGCTGGCCTTAGTTGGGGGGCAAGGCAGCATCAAGAAGCCCTGCTCCGTGCAGCACAGTGGCACAAGCTCATGTTGAAACATGCCCACTTCGAAACACCCAAAATGTCATTCAGGTGTGAAAGAGTCCCTTCCGCGACAGAGCCTTTCTAACCACATTTTGGCACCTTTTTAAAAAAAAATGAAACCTTTTTCTCAATAAACAGGAAAGGTACTGTAGATCAAGACGGGTGGCTGTGTTAGTCCGTCCGTAGCAGTAGAAAAGAGCAGGAGTCCAGGAGCCCCTCTTCAAGACTAACAGAATTTGTGGCAGGGGGGGAGCTTTCGTGAGTACCTGAAGAAGTGAGTGGTGACGGATAGAACGGATAAAAGGAAGTCCTTCTTCACCCAAAGAGTGATGAACACGTGGAATTCACTGCCACAGGGAGTGGTGGCGGCTACAAGCACAGACGGCTTCAAGAGGGAATTAGAAAAGCATATGGAGCAGAGGTCCATCAGTGGCTATTAGCCACAAAGTATAGATAGGGACTCTGGGGCAAGTGATGCTCTGTCTTCTTGGTGCTTGGGGGGCAACAGTGGGAGGGCTTCTAGTGTCCTGGCCCCACTGGTGGACCTCCTGATGGCACCTGGTATTTCTGGCCCCTGTGTGACAGAGTGTTGGACTAGATGGGCCTTTGGCCTGATCCAACATTGGCGTATCTTATGTTCTTATAGGAACTCTCAGTCTGGGGCAAGTGATGCTCTGTCATCTTGGTGCTTGGGGGGGGGTCAACAGTGGGAGGCCTTCTAGAGTCCTGGCCCCACTGGTGGACCTCCTGATGGCACCTGGTATTTCTGGCCCCTGTGTGACAGAGTGTTGGACTAGATGGGCCTTTGGCCTGATCCAACATTGGCTTCTCTTATGTTCTTATGTGACTCACGAAAGCTCCTCTCCTGCCACAAATTTTTGTTGGTCTTGAAGGTGCTCCTTCCACAATCAATACTGCTTGACTATCGGGAAGATAGAAATATCACAAAAGCAAACCGGGACCTGATATCAACTTTATTGATGGTGGCTAAATTAGTAATCACTTGTAACTGGAAGACTACTCCTTTACTTTCCCTTCACCACTGGTATATAAAAACCTGGGAATACTATACCATGGGGGAAATTGCCACGAACGTTCATCCTACTAACACTTATAAAATGCAAATTATGTTCCATGCTAAATGGCTTCCATTCCTTGAAAAATCATTCCCTGAATCGATAGCTACTTCTTATTCAATACCCCAGCGATATAAAGAGATAATAACTTTTTGACTTGGTTTTATAGATCAATAATATTTGCGCAAAAGCAAAATAATAGGGTCAGTATATATCAATGTTCATAGTAATCTCTGTAGTTAGTCATTTGAATGGTTATTTCTATTACGAAGCAAACGTTACATTGCTTAAGTAAAATGTATTTGTATTATTCATATAAAGCATAGCATTGTTTATGTGTTTTAAAGTTAAAAGTTATAAATAAACTTATATATATATAAAAAAGGTGCTCGTGAACTCCGGCTCTTTTCTACTGCAAGAAGGGTGCAGCAGAAGCCGTTTGGGTGCTACGCTGGGAAATCTCTCCAGGGAGAGAGGAGGGACCCCAGTATTTCCTCTAAGCTGAGTGAGTGTGAGCTAGCTCGCAGGGTTTTTTCGCCTCCGGCTCACACATGTCTGTCTCAGCTCAGGAAGTAGAGCTCCAGAGCAGACTAATTGCTGCGGTGGCCGAAGGGCTCGCTGACAACTTTAAGGCCGGGAGCTCAGAAAGCAGAATGTTTGCTCACAAGACTCTGCAGCTTAGAGGGAGCGTTGGACCGCACATCAAATCCGTGCAGGGGGAGAAAGAGGCGAGGCGCGGCCCACGCTCGCCACCGGCGGCTGCCTTTTGCCGGATCGTGGCCACACAGCGCCCTCCCCCCCCCAGGCAAGCAGGGGCCTTTGGGGGACACCTCCGGCCGCGACCAGTGTTCCCTCTAAGCTGAGTGAGTGTGAGCTAGCCCACAGAGTTTTAGCCTCTGGCTCACCCATTTTTGTCTTAGCTCAGGAAGGAGGGCTCCAGAGCAGACTAATTCATGCAGCAGCCAGTGTTCCCTCTAAGCTGAGTAAGTGTGAGCTAGCCCACAGAGTTTTAGCCTCTGGCTCACCCATTTTTGTCTGAGCTCAGGAAGGAGGGCCCCAGAGCAGACTGATTCATGCAGCAGCCAAAGCGTTCGCTCCCAGCTTGTCGCTCACAACTTTAATGCCAGCGGCTCACAAAATAGAATTGTTGCTCACAAGACTCTGCAGCTTAGAGGGAGCATTGGGACTTGTGACCCTGCAGCGACGCTCTCCCGCGGAATGCAGCGCCTCCCCCAGTCCCGCGCCCTCCCGATGGCAGCAGCCGACGAGCCTCGCAGCGGCTCAGCGGCCCCGCTCCGTTGGAGCGAGGTGCAAACGCGTGGCCCGACGGGGACTCCCCACCCTCTCCATTATTGCGTCACTAGCGGGGGGCGGCGCCAAGGAGAGTGGGCGGGGCGGGCGGGGCGCCCCCTGCCGGCCTGCCTGCCTGCCTGCCGCAAAGCCGTTCAAGGATGGAGCGCGTCCCCTGGGCCGCCGGCGCCAGCAGCAAGTCAGCGCGGGGGTCTCCTGGGCCGAGGGCTGGCTGCGAGGACGGCGGCGGCCCCACTCCGGAGAGCCGGCGGCCACTTCCCGGGAGCTGCGCCGAGAGCCACCCGCGCCTCCAGCAAGCGCGGAGAGACGCGGAGCTCCGCAAGGGCGGCTTCGTCGGGGCCGTCTCCTTCCACGTGGCCTTCCTCAGCCTGACCGCGCCGTTGCAGTGGGCGAAAAGAGCCTGCCGCGTCCGGCCTGGGAGACTGGTGCCCTGGGCCGCCCTCTTCCTCTTGGTTTGGGGGGCTTCTCACGTGGGACTGCTGGACAGGGGCTTCCAGCTCCTCGGGGAGAGCCGGGGGGACTTCTCCCTGTGCGACTGCCTCCCGGGCGGAGGGGCCAAGGACCTGAGGTCACTCCAAAAGGCCACCCGCGCTTTGGAGAGGAAGGCCGGCGAGATCCCCCCTCTGAAGGAGGCCCTGCGCGAGTTCGAATCTCAGCTGCGGGCCCTGAGCTCGGAGGCGCACGGCCGGGCCCGCCGGGCCGTCGAGGAGGCCCTACAGAGCTACGCCGGCAAGGGCGTCGCCACGTGGAGCGTTCAAAAGATGCTGAAAGAGTTGATGGACCGGGTGGACCAAGACGGCGTTCAGAGGCCGGACTACGCCCTCCGGTCGGCAGGCGCCCGCATCGTCCACGCCAGGACCTCTAGGAGCTACCGCCACGAGGGGGGAAGCTACTTCTGGGGGCCCATCCAGGTGCTCCCCTTTGTGAAATCGGCCGATGCTATTCTGCAGCCGGACCGCGCGCCGGGAAACTGCTGGCCTTTCCCTGGAGACCGGGGCGAAGCCATCGTCAAACTAGCCGCGGGAATCCACCCCACTGCTGTGACGATAGACCACATATCGAAGAACGTCTCCCCCACCGGAGAAATCTCTAGTGCGCCCAAAGAGTTTGCTGTTTATGGATTAAGAGACGCCAACGAGGAGGACGGGGCCTTCTTAGGGCGGTTTGTTTATGACGCTGAAGGAAATATGGTCCAGACTTTCAAACTGGAGGGGAACTCTTCTTCCGAAATTATCAGCTACGTGAAACTGAAAGTGCTAAGCAACTGGGGACACCCAAAATACACCTGCATCTATCGCTTCCGGGTCCACGGAGATTTAGGAAACGACTAAGCGTTCTGTGGCCGGGACCCTGTTGGGAGAGGTGCAGAGTGGCCACGCCAAACGGCAATGAATTTGCTGTGCTCTTTCCCGATTAAAAAGAGATGTGCCCCACTGGCCATGGGGGGGAAAAAGCACATACGTTATTTAAATTAATTTGGAGTTCCTTCCACCACCAAACTGAGGACTGACTTGCGACAGATGCAGGATGAAGGGTCAGAATTGACAGGAGCGATTCGGTTGAGGCCGAGGATGTCGGGGGCTCCCTGAAATTCTAGTGGCGCCTGCCACTCGATGCTCCCTCTAAGCTGTGGGGTCTTGTGAGCAAAAATCCTACTTGGCGAGCTACTGGAGTAAAGTTGCGAGCGAGCGATTTGGCTGCTGCATGAATCAGTTTGCTCTGGAGCCCTCCTTCTTGAGCTAAGGCAAAAATGCGCAATCCGGAGGCTAAAAAACGGCTAGCTCACACTAACTCAGCTTAGAGGGAACACTGCTGCCAATCGCTATCTGCTGGGGGAGCGCGAGTGCAGAGGAGTTGCCGAGGCCGCAGCCCCAGGGGCAAACCTCCCACCTCCTGGGAACCACAGCCCTCCTTTAAGCACTCGGGGCTAATTGCTAGTCAGCTCTCTGGCAGCTCTGGCTGGGAGAGGAGCAGGCGGGCGGATTGCCCGAGGCCTTCCCGCCTCCGACGGGTGGCTCAGACTGAGGGGGTGCAACCTGTCGGGGAGTCTTGATGTCAGGCGCCAGCTCAGCCCCCGAGTGTCATGCATCCTCCCCTGCCCAGGAGGATTCTGGACCTCTGCGTGGGCTCCTTCTGCACTGACTCACGGGGCCCCACGCCGGGCAGCTTGGAGGGCTGGAACAAGGAGAGACGAGGGGATAAAACTGCAACAGAGCTGAGTTTGCAAGGGGAGGAGTGATCTCACACACACACACACATATAGCTGTTCTCCTGTGTAGGTCGCATCCTGGGAATTGCCTTTCTGAGGATCTGAAGCTGGGTTGCCAAGCTCTGGGTTGGGGAATTCCTGGAGATTTGGGGAGTGAAGCCTGTGGAGGGCGGGGTTTGGGGAGAGGAGGGATCTCCGCAGGGTACGATGCCACAGAGTCCACCCTCCAAAGCAGCCACTTTCTACAGAGTTATGCTAATGTTATGCTAATGAGCTCCTGCACTTCTTTTTCTACAAAATGGCACCTGGTGACATGATCGAGGTTTATAAGATTATGCCTGGGACAGAGCAGGTCGGGAAAGAAGTCCTTTTCTCCCTTTCTCACACAGTACAAGAATTCCTGGGCACTCCATGAAATTGCTGAGCAATCGGTTTAGAATGGATACAAGGAAGTCCTTCTTCACCCAGAGAGTGATGAACACATGGAATTCACTGCCGCAGGAGGTGGTGGCGGCTACAAGCACGGACGGCTTCAAGAGGGAATTAGATGAGCATATGGAGCGGAAGTCCATCAGTGGCTATTAGCCACAGGGTATAGATAGGGACTCTCGGTCTGGGGCAAGAGATGCTCTGTCTTCTTGGTGCTTGGGGGCGGCAACAGTGGGAGGGCTTCTAGTGTCCCGGCCCCACTGCTGGACCTCCTGGTGGCATCTGGTCTTTCTGGCCACTGTGTGACACAGAGTGTTGGACTGGATGGGCCATTGGCCTGATCCAACATTGGCTTCTCTTAGGTTCTTATGAGATTAATTGTACTAGTGGGAGATCTCCAGGTGCCACCTGGAATTTGGCAACCCTAGTTGGAAGAGAGGAACACTGGGAAAACTCTGCCTTCTGTGCAGGCACAGCTGGATACCAGCTACTACGGGGCAGGATTGTACTTTCAGCCTCGCATATGGGATTACTTCCCATAGCGCGTTCACAGGAACCCACATTGATCTACCACCCAAAGAACACGTTTTCACATTTCTGGGCATGGGGCGAGGACAGAGGGTTGCCCGCCTCGAGGTAGCGGCTGGAGATCTCCCAGAATCACAACTGATCTTGAGTCTGTGAAGCTCAACCCCCCTGGAGAACGTGGTCTCTCTGGAGGGCAAGTGATTCTAGAGCCAGTTTGGTGTCGTGGTTAGGAGCGCGGACTGTAATCTCGGAGAACCGGGTTTGATTCCCCACTCCTCCACTTGCAGCTGCTGGATGACCTTGGGCAAGCCGTAGTTCTGATAAGAGCTGTTCTTGAAAAAGAGCAGTTCCTGTCAGTGCTCTCTCAGCCCCGCCTCCCTCACAAGGGTGTCTGTTGTGGGGAGGGGAAGGAGTTCGTAAGCCGCTCTGAGACACCTTCAGGTAGTGAAGGGCAGGGTATGAATCCAGTCTCTTCTTCTAGGTGAAGTCCCTCCCCATACTGCTCCTTCTAGAGGCACCACAGCTTTGGAGGGTGGATCCTACGGCATTCCACCCCTCTGAGGTCCGTCCCCTTCCCAGTCCCCACCCTCTTCCCTTCAAACTCCAGGAATTTCCCAAGCCAGAGTTGGCAACCTTAATTAGGTATCAGTTCCCTCCCGAAGTAGCCTCTCGGCTATGGTAGCCAACTTCCAAGTGGGTCCTCCTAGAGTTCTCCTTGGAATTACCGCTTATCGCCACAAAGCTAGTTGCAGAGGCAAGCTGGGTTGGCCAGCAGGAGAACCATTGGATTAGAGTCCAGAAGCACCTGAAGGACGGCCAAGACTGGGGGGGGGGGGCAAGATATATAGGATTCTGGATGAATCCCTCCCCGTGGTCCCCTTTCCACAGGCAGTGCCCCCCCCCATCTCCAGGAATTTCCCAGGCCAACGTTGGCAACCCTACTCACTGCCATCCAACCTCAGGAGCTTTCAATGCTTGCGTTCCCCCCCCCCCCCCCTCTTTCTCAGCTCCATCTCCTCCTGACTGATTGGTTCCTACTTTTCCCCTCCATTTTCCAAGGCCACAAGTGGTGCCTGCTCCCCGTAGAATCAGAGTCGTTTTATTGTATGTCGCCATAAGCCTTCACAATATCAAACACTCTCAGAGAGTTTGTGCATTAACATATGATTTTTAAAAAAATTCAACCTCTACAAAACGTATAAAACCTGTTAAAGCGACCTCAGTCTATAATATTTAAATCCAATCAGACCTTTTAAGAACACTCACTTAGAGAGCCAGTTTGGTGTAGTGCAGTGGTGGCGAACCTATGGCACGGGGGCCAGAGGTGGCACTCAAGAGCCCTCTCTGTGGGCACCACGCGTGCCATCGCCCCAGCCAGGCCCAAGCCACCATTAAAGAGTCGAATTCTCTGCCAAATAATTTTAAGTAAATGAAAGCATTTGGGATTGCTTTCCTTACTTTGTTTGGGCCATCTTAAGTTAATGTATGAGTTGTTTTTTCTAAAGTAAAACCTCAGTATTCAGGTTAAATTGCCGTGTTGGCACTTTGCGACAAATAAGTGGGTTTTGGGTCGCAGTTTGGGCACTCGGTCTCTAAAAGGCTCGCCATCACTGGTGTCGTGGTTAAGTGCGCAGACTCTAATCTGGGAGAACTGGGTTTGATTCCCCACTCCTCCACTTGCGCCTGCTGGATGACCTTGGACAAGCCATAGTTCTGGCAGAGCTGTTCTTGAAAAAGAGCAGTTTCTGTCGGAGCTCTCTCAGCCCCACCTACCTCACAGGGTGTCTGTTGTGGGGAGGGGAAGGGAAAGGAGTTTGTAAGCCGCTCTGAGACACCTTTGGGTAGTGAAGGGCGAGCTATAAATCCAATCTCTTCTCTTTCTCTCAAATGTTCTCTCAAGGGCAGTCCTCGAAAGAGCTCTCTCAGCCCCACCTACCTCACAGGGTGTCTGTTGTGGGGAGGGGAAGGGAAAGGAGTTTATAAGCCGCTCTGAGACACCTTTGGGTAGTGAAGGGCGGGCTATAAATCCAATCTCTTCTCTTTTTCTCAGCTGTTCTCTCAAGGGCAGTCCTCGAAAGAGCTCTCTCAGCCCCGCCTACCTCCCAGGGTGTCTGTTGAGGGGAGGGGAAGGGAAAGGAGTTTATAAGCCACTCTGAGACACCTTTGGGTAGTGAAGGGCGGGGTATAAATCCAACCTCTTCTCTTCTTTTAGTTGCAATGGCACTATTAGATTTCTTTGCTCTGATTTTTCACGCGGCCAAGGCAAAGAGAGCCAGTATTGAAGAGATAAAGGGGTCCTCATCTGAGAGCATAAAGGCCATCTTATCATCATCAGACAGGGGGTACAGGGCTGTCATTATCTTCGCTAAAAATGTGGCCCTAGGTTCTACGTATAACGGACAGGCCAGAATATAATGGGGAAGGTCTTCCACTGACTGCCCACATATGTCCACAGTACACCTTGCATGATTGTGCAGTACCTTGCATTAAAAAAAATGCCGCAGGAAAAGATCAGTTCTGTAGCCTGTATAAATTATGCAAATTAAGGAGATTGCGCATGATTTGGTCCGCTTCAAATCACCCTGGGAAAGGGCAAAGCACCGCCAGAATACAGAATCCCAACCCTGGAACTGCTTGGAAGCCTCTAGCTTCCAGGGTTTCATCCACCAGGCACTTCCTGGCATATCTTTACAACCTGAGGACTAGAAACTTCGTTTTTAAAAAAAATAAATAATCAAAGTTGGGATTCTCCAAAACCTGGATTCCAGACACAACAGACACCACCACATTTGTTGGGTTTCCTGTGCCCTGGCGTGACAACAACTATAGGAACCAGCCGCAGAGACAGAGCAAAGCCGGAGGTCCTCCTTACCCGGTTCGGTGGGCCATCTGCCGTTCGTTCTGGTACCTCCACTGGCCAGTGCTGCTACCAACCACCGTGTCAGTCATGGCTTAGCCTTGCAGCTACCTGTGGGGAAAAGGAGACAGAAGCATTAGGCAGTGACCAGGCGGATAAGGTGTCCGGGAGGAGGGAGAGGCGGGGATCAGAGAGAGGGATGAAGCCAGAGGCACGTGGCGAGAACACGACTCCTCTCCTTTGTCTCAAAGGTTTTTATGAGCGGGTGGCTCTTAGTGGGAATTAAGATTGCTGGGGAAAAGATCGACCACCTCAGATATGCAGACGATACCACGCTAATGGCAGAAAGTGAAGAGGACCTAAAGAGCCTCTTGCTCAGGGTGAAAGAGGAGAGCGCAAAAGTGGGCTTGAAGCTCAACATCAAAAAAACTAAGATCATGGCAGCCGGCCCCATCACTCCTTGGCAAATAGAAGATGCTGGGAAAGATTGAAGGTCAAAGAAGACGGGGACGGCAAAGGATGAGATGGTTAGACAGTGTCATAGATGCAACAAACATGAAGTTGAGCCAACTTCAGAGGACGGCGGAAGACAGGAGGGCCTGGCGTGATCTAGTCCATGGGGTCACGAACAGTCGGACTCGACTGTGCGACTGAACGACAAAACTCCTTAGAACGGCTTTTGAAGCAGCCAGTTAAAATAACTCATGTGCAGTCCACAGTGCCTCCAAATGTGGTTGTAGCCCCATATTGGCAGATGGGGGAGGTTAGGCGACACCCCAAGATAGCTTTCGACAAGAGCATCCGGGTTGCCCAGGAGTAATATTCTTGCCCCCCTTAACAACTTAGCAATGCCAAGCCATGCCCAAAGGGCAT